GGCGTCCTTCGGCAGCGCCCCGGGGCTTTTCCTTAAGGCTACCCCAGAACCTCTTGGACCTCGTTCTGAAGCCAGACGTGGACGACGTCGCCCCCGACCTTAACCTTGCCTGGTGTTCCATAGATTAGATCCACGCGGCGGCTGCCTCTGGCGGAGACGAGTCTGCTCCCCCGTCGGCTCTCGTCGTCGAGGTTGCCGGCGCCGTTTTGGCGAAGGAGGCGGGGCAGAGGTGGAGAGACGCGGAGGGGTGGGCAGAGGGTGCTACAGAGGGCGCGGAAAAAAGGATGGCCATCAGCTTGTTGATGGCAAACAGCAGCTGCGACCTCCGGACGACAGCGCAGGCTGCCCGCCTCGCGGGGGACCATGTGGCGCGATGCGACGCCGACGTGACCGACTTCTAGCTGGTTGCTGTCCGCCATGCGACCTTGCCGCCACCTGCGATGGAAATGGTCGAGGCCGCCCCTGCGCGATCTAGACGCAACGTTGGCCTTGGCATCGGCTGCGTGAACCCGCGCTCGCAGCTCCTACTGGGGCCTCGATCCCTGGAGATTGCTTGGCCGCCTTCGGCCTCGGAATAAAAATCATGCGTGGATGCCAGGCAATTCGCCGATTGTGATAACGTCCACTGGCAAGTTTGAATATTATGAGCTACGCCCGCTGGCGCCCACCCTGCCCCCGGGGCGAGCCCGGGCCAGGCATCGCCAGGCTATGGGGGATTCAGCGCCATTTGGGGGCTCTCGACTAATGAATGCGACGCGGCAGGCTGGGAACGCGATAGCATGGACCAGTGTGCTGAAGTTGCATCAGTTGAGTCCGGGACTCTATTCAGCGATGCGGCAAATTATGTGAGAGGATCTCGCACTACGAGTTGTCTCGCCAGGCCAGGCTGGTCGACCTCAACTTTAGGCAGATGTATGTGGCGTGTAAGTCAGATGCTGGACATCGGTGCCTCATTTTCTTGGGCGCGATTTCCCTTCTGTTCCATGTGAGTGGTATTGTGCTAGCTGGCTATTCGCATGCTACCTCGGTTATTAAGGTTCCTTGCCGCCTTCTAAACGACATAGCCAGTGAGTTCCCAACGGTCGCGGTCCGAAACGCAGTCGACGACGTCCACGCCCAATGATTAGGAACTACCAAGTTCTTTCATTGCTGATGAATTTGGCGGTACAGGCAAGCTCCTGGCCATAGGCCATCGCAACCTTAAACTGGTCTCGTCGAAATGCAAGGCCCCGTGGCATCGCCCGACGAGCTCGCGATGGCCCTGGACAATCTGAGGAGCGATTACTGATTTGAGCGGGAGAAAAGCATTCGCCCCGTTCGCGCGGACTCTCATGCAGGCAAGAGGTGCGCGATGACCACGGCGGCTAAGAGCCTTAAGGAAGGTCCCCGACGTTCACTCAAGCTTCCCAAGCTCAAGCAGGCTGGGGCAAAAGTTGCCAACATCAGGCGGGCAGGGCCCCGGGCGACTTAGTTCCACCGTGGGCCTCAAGTTGGCCACGACCAGAGTCGGATGCGTAGTAGGCCCCCTGAACCTCTACCACTCCCAGGTCATAGGCTTTTTGGCACGCGCTGTCTGGTTCGGTAGGCTGGGCTACAATATCATTTAGCACTTGTTGGTGTAGGCGGACAGTGAATTCCAAAGACCTCGCGATTTCTGGGCCCTTGCTGCCAGCCCTGCCCACGTTCATGTGGTGTCTGTCCAATAGCTTGGTTGGCGCGTCCCGTCTGCCGACGCCCCGTTATAGATACTGGAGGAGACTGTGATTCAACCAAGATAACGCCTAGGCAGGTAGTTGGGTCGGTTGGAGAGCTGCCCGCAATATTTCCGATGTAACAGCGTTCGCTAAGTTCGACTCCGAGAGCGAAGCCAGCTGGATCCGCCCGGTTTTCTGGAAGCCTGTGGCTGGCCTCCTGGAGGGCCGAACCACTGCGCTTTGGACCCCGCGGCACCAGGCCAGTCTGAGAGCGTTGGTTTCCCAGCAGCAGCGGTGCCAACATAAGTATCACCCACTTGACAAGAGCAACGCAGATCTCTGCCAGGCCTGCCAAAAGAAGAAAGGCACGCTCTGGCACAGGCGTTTTCTCTGCCCCCACTGGGCCTCCTGCCACGCCGAGCATTGCAGCCCACGACCGCCCCGCCGCGCGTCTGTTCTCCAGCTGTCGGGGCAAGATCTCGGGAAAACGGTTATGTTTTTGTCAGTTTTGGCCTCCCCCCTACTCCGCCTAAGAGGCCTTATGTGCTCGCTTGCGCTACTTGTGGATGATATTCGTGGGAGGCTGTGCACTCACTTGCTAAGCTGCGCGACCACTTCCCCCTCTACTATTACGTATTGTCCTTTTTCGCCAGACGAGGGTTTTCGAACTTACATGTCTTTGTGTGTCCAAACAGGACAGTGGCCGGGCCATCGGCAGTTGGAACCCCCCCTCCCCACGGGCATTGGCATCCATGCTTGCTCCTCGCGCCTCTAGCCTCACCTGGACGCGCCAGGCCCCTGTCCAGAATGTCTGGGCGTGGGGTGGGGGTGGGGGGTGGGAAACGGTGCATGCGGCAGCCGTTTCCGGGCTGCCTTGAGACGGCTGCTCTGGCCCAGGCCGCAGAACCCCGCCACCGACCCCAGCGGCTGCCGGGCCCGCCCTTTCCCTGTCTTCCCCACCCAACGAGGAGGATGAGGTGTTGGAGGAGTTGTTGGTCCCTTGCTCTTGATGTGCTGGAAGGGGCCGACGCTCTGGCGTTTCTGGCCTGAGCTGTTTTTTCCTCTCTGGACTGTTGCCCTCCATGGGAGGAAGTCTTACCACTACGGTGATGATAGTTATGTGATGTCATGTGTGCCTCGTGGAATGCCCCTAGCGCCTCGGGATGTGCGATGACGATGAGGATAAGGCTGGAGGTGGGGGCAGGGTGGAGGAGGAAGAGGAGAAGGAGGGGGAGGGCAGAATATGAAGAGGAAAGGAGGATGGCGAGGAGAGATAAGGAGGCGAGGATGCATATGGGAGGATGAGGGCGGGGGAGGGATGACGCTGATGACGGTGGTGGTGATGATGGCGCTGCTGATGATGGTATGTATAGTGACGATAGTGATGAAAATGAGGGGAATGCTGGTAATAGATATGATGATGTTGCCGATGGGGATGGGGATGGTGACGGTACTGGTAATGATGATGGGGATGACGATGTTTGTGATGATGGTGATGGTGAATGCGATCGTGATGGTGTTGATGTTGGCGTCAATGACAATTGCGATGACGACGATGATGACGCCAATGATGATGAGAAGGAGGAGGAGGAGGAGGATTAGGGGGTCGAGTAGGGGGATGGGGCGGTTGAAGAGGTGTTTTGGATGGTGATGAAGATGAATAGCTAACGATGAAGATGATGATGATGATGATGATGCTGATAATGTTGATGACGATGATGATGATGATGATGATGATGATGCTGATGATGATGATGATGCTCATGATGATGACACTGCTGGTGATGATGATGCTGATGATGATGATTGTGGTGATGATGGTGAGATGGGTGCTGATAAGGATGCGTATGATGGTGATGGCGATGGTGTTAGTGATAGTGAGTATGCCGATTATTGTGATGATGCTGATGACAATGATGGCGATGACGATGCCGATAACGACGATGATGATGATGATGATGATGATGATGATGGTGATGATGATGATGATGATGGTGATGGTGACGGTGATGATGATGATGATGGTGGTGGTGATGATGATGATGGTGATGGTGATGGAGATGATGATGATCATGGTGATCATGCTGATCATGATGATTATTATTAAAATGATGAAACTGATGGTGATGATGTTGACGATGCTGATGACGATGATGATGATGCTGATGATGGCAGTGATGCTGATGACGATGATGATGATGATGATGATGATGATGATGATGGCGACGACGACGATGATGATGCTGGTAATGATGATGATGATGGCGATGATGATGATGATGATGATGATGATGATGATGATGATGACGATGATGCTGATTATGATGATGATGACGATGGTGGTGATGATGATGGTGGTGGTGATGATGATGCTGATGGTGACGATGATGCTGAGTTTGATTATGATGCTGCTGCTGATGATGATGATGAAGGTGGTGCAGGTGACGATGACGATGTTGGTGTTGATGATGATGCTGATGATGATGGTGGTGAGGATGACGATGACGATGACGATGCTGATGCAGGTGATGATGATGCTGTAGTTGATGATGATGATGCTGATGATGACGAGGATGATGATGATGATGATGATGATGATGATGATGATGATGATGATGATGATGATGATGATGATGATGATGGTGATGGTGATGGTGATGATGATGATGATGATGACGATGATGATGATGATGATGATGATGACGATGACGATGATGATGCTGCTGATGATGATTCTGATTATGATTATGATTGTGATGATGAAGGTTATGCTGGTGGTGAAGGTGCTGATGCGTATGAAGATGATGATGCGCATGCTGCTGATGGGGACGATGGCGATGCACATGATGTTGATGCAAATACTTATGGCAATGATGGCCATTATTATGGTGATCATGAGGGCCATGATGAAACAAGAGGAGGAGGAGGAGGAGGAGGAGGAGGAGGAGGAGGAGGAGGAGGAGGAGCCAGCAGAAGGAGCCAGCAGGAGGAGCTAGCAGGAGGAGGAGGAGGAGGAGGAGGTGGTGGAATCTGTAGGGGCAAGTAGGAGGATGATGATGATGAGGAGGAGGAGGAGAAGGATGAGCAGGAGGAGGAATAGCAGGAGGAGGAGGTGCAGGAGGAGGAGGAGGAGGACGAGGAGGAGGAGCAGGAGTAGGAGGAAGAAGAGGAGGAGGAGGAGGAGGAGGAGATGGAGGATGAGGAGGAGAAGGAGGAGGAGGAGGAGGAAGAGGAAATATGAGGAAGAGGTGGCATGTGGGCCAGCCTGCCCCAACCCTTGGGCGAACCCGCTTGCCGCCCCCCGAGGTACGGGCTGGTGGAGCTGCCGATGCTGGTGACCGCGGCGCGCTGCACTGCACCGCGCCGCCTTTTTTGGGGAGGGGGGTCTGGCGGCGAGCGCCCGAGGCGGGGGTGCGAGGGACGGCGGGCAGGGGAGAGAAGTGTGAAAAAGGAACCCCCGATCCATGTACTTGGCGATCGCGCGCCAAATCCATGGATCGCTAATCCATGTTTGCGCGCCCCCGAAAGGGGAAAGGGCGAGGAGGGGAAGGGATGAAGAGGAGGTGGAGGGGAAAGAGAGAAGAGCGGTCGGGACGCACGGAAGGGTGGGACAGGGGGGGGGGCACAAGACTTGCTGCATGTAGCAGCTGCGTGCAGCAGTTCTTGTGCCGGGAGGCGGGTCCGAAGCCAGCTGCATTCTTGCTGGCTTCGGACCCGCCCCGGGCACGTTCCGCCATCATGGTCGCCTTCGGCGCCTTAACCCAGCTACGTGTAGCTGATTCCCAAACCCCCTCTTGCTACCCCCCCGCTTTGTACACCCCAGCAAGGAGGGCAGTCGCGCCTCGACGCGGCAGCATCGCCAGCGTGGGCGGCCCCTCACCTCATTTCCCTTCTCGCCCCTCTTTGGTTGTGGACGGTGAACCTCCTTCCTCATCCTGCTCCCCCGTATTCCTCCTTCATCTTCCTTCCTCGTTCCTCAGTCCTCCCCCTTCTTGGACCACCTGTGGGAGCTAGCGCTCGAAGCGTCAAATGACGAAGGCTGTTCTTGCTACTGCATCAAGAACTGGAAGCACCGCAAGCATGCAAGGCAATATGTGCGGAGTGATAGAAAACGCAGAAGAGGGAACAGCACATCCTCCCCATTCTCGCTGTGGACATTGGAAAGCCGTTTGGTTCCCCCGCGGAGCACAAGCGTCAAGCTCAGGGCGATTCGCGGTCTTCCTTTTTGGGGGTCCTCCTCCATCCCCCCAAAAAGCTCCCCCTCCTGCTCCTCCTCCTCTTCCTCCTCCTCCATTTCCTCGTCCTCCTCCTCCTCCTCCTCCTCCTCCTCCTCCTCCTCCTCCTCCTCCTCCTCCTCCTCTCCCGCTTACGAAGCACCTCGCCCAAGAGGACCCTCGGCACGAGGTCACCGCAGGAGCGAGCCTTTGCCATTCGAACGAAGAGGCCCCTTGCGCTCCATATACTCACCCGCAGAGGTCGGCAGGCGCTGCTTCAAACCGTGTCACGACGTGGGGTCGTTCGGGGCTGCTCACCCCGCCTTTGATTGCTCTACCCCAGAGGGGTGCAGTGGTATGCACGCTTGGCTCGTGCGTGGGGTTTCCGATCGCTCGTTTGAAGCGTCGAACACATATCAATATACATATCGCGCGGTGCAGTGCACTCCCAAGGGCGACCTTCGCGCGTCCCACGGAGTCAGGGGGGGGAATCGCTCCCAAGGTCAGGGCCTCACGACCTCCGATCGCTTTGCCTTGGCCTGCCGCATCCGCCTCGCCTTCGCTGCAGGCTCGGCCGTCGGATCCTCTCGGCCTCCGCGCGCCCGCGCTGCGCGGGGGGCCGCGCGCCCCTCCCTCTCGCACAGGACAGCAACACCGCCGTCGACAACCTGGTCAAGGGCATCGGCAAACGGCGGGGGCGGGGGGGGCAGGGGCGGCGGACGGATGGAGCCAGGGGAGAAAAAATCACCCGGACTGGACAATTGGCAGTTATCAAACGGCCCTGGGCGTTTACTAAACAGCCTTGCCCTGCTTGATTCCTTCTTTGGGTGCGTTTACTAAATGGCTTCGCGCATCGGGGTGTTCATTATCGGGGTGGATCGTCTGCCCTCTATGGAGGAGGCAGGCTGGGGCGGCTGGGACGGCGGAGGGACGACAGCGGCTGGGGACGGCGAACAGATTCGGAGGCAGCGTGATGGGGGCCGAGGCAGCTCGCCGAGCGCGAGTCGGCACGCCCGTGCAACCCCTGAGCCTCGTTACCTTCCCCCTCTCGTCTCAAGAGTGGCATCGTTTTCCTCCAATTTCCTTGTCTCGGGCCGAACGAAAGGGGGGGATAGGGAAATGGGGGGGGGTACGAAATCTGCTGCGTGCAGCTGGTTTCGGCCCCGCCGCCGGCCCCATTCCTCGACACATGGGCGCCTTCCGGCGTCGGGAGGCGCTGGGAAAATCAGCTACGTGAGCTGCTTCTCTACCCTACCCTTTGCTATCCCCCCCTTTCGTTCCCCCCGAGAGTGGTATCGTTTTCCTCCATCTTCCTCGTCCTCCTGTTTTTGCCCCGGCCTTCCCGTGGTTGGGTTCTCGCTTTGAGCAGTGTGGGCCCCACCTACTCCCTCCTCCCTCTTCCCCGCCTCCCCTTCGTCCACTACCCGCCCCCCTCCCTTTCCTGTTTAGGCGTCCTCTCCCTCGTCGAGACCTCGCGGCTCCCTGCGGGGTTGCGAACCGCGCAATTGGCCTACATTGTCGTGTGTTCCTGGGAGGTCCAGCGGATTGGAGGTCCATGCAGACCTGCTGAGACCTCGCGGCTTCCTGCGGGGCTGCGAACCGTGCAATTGTCGCCATTTTCGTGGGCTCCTGGGAGCCTGGGAGGTCCAGCGGAGTGGAGGTCCACGCAGACCCAGCCAAGACCTCGCGGTGCAACTGTTGCCACTTTCGTGGGTTCCTGAGAGGTCCAGCGGAGTGGAGGTCCACGCGGACTTTCCGAGACCTCGCGGTTCTTAGACCTTGTGGCTCCTTGGGGGGCCGCGAAGTGCGCGTCGGCTCCAAGGGGGTCTGCGAAATTCGCGTCTTTCATAATGTTCGTTTGTGTTGAACGGTCCTTACTATGGCTGCCCCGTGTTAGAAAAGGGTTGGGTACGTCACGGGGTAATTATCCTCCTCCGAGGGACGACAGCGGCCGAGAGCGGCGGACAGATGGAGATGGCGCGGACGGCTGGGGCCGGGAGGGTCGAAACGGGTAAGGAAGGCATGGGGTCGAAGACCATAAAGCAGGTTTTGCCCGTTTTGAACAAAGATCGTGACGTTTGGTGTATCCCCACCAGCCCATCCGCAGACGATGCCCAGGGAAGTTGTATCGAAGAGGGGCGTGATTACACATATAGTGAAGCAAGGAGACCAACGACGGTGAGAATAGACCCGGACAGCCATCTTGGGGCCATTTTGGATGCCACTGGGGCTCTTTGGGGGGCCGTTTTTGGACCCTCTTGAGGCTCTCTTGGGGCCCTCTTGGGGTCTTTATTGGCCCTCTTACGGCCATTGCTGGAGGCAGCCAGTAAACAGCAGAGCGGCGGGCATTAGCGCCCCCCCGTCGGAGCTCGAAGAATCGCCTCTTGGGGCCCTCTTCTGGCGATACTTTACTCTGTAGGGGCCGTCTTGGGCCCCTCTTGGGGCTCGCGTTGGCCGCCTCAAGCCCATGGGAAGCGAAACGGCGAAAAAAGCAAACAACACGGACCAACGCCAGGCATTAGAACAAAAATGATCACTCGGAGGCCTCCTTGGGAGGCTCCGTAGCCACTTGGGACCGCCTTAGAGCGGTCATCTACCTCTTGGAGGCATGTGAAAGGCTACCTCGAGTCATGTTGGGCTATCTTGTACCATCTTGGAGGCCATCTTGGGCTATCTGAGGCCATCTTCGAGCCATCTAAGGCCATAACAGACGCTCCAGCGCGTCGCACCCCCCTCCTCCAGACCCAGGGGTCAGGGGGAGTGGTCCAGCTGCCCACCCCGAAGGACGGCCGTCTGGCTCGCTCCCGCCTGTCCTGCCACCACGCACGCAGCTCCGGAGTCTCGTAGGCCGCCATCGACAGCGACCGGGAACCACTTCAGACGCCAGCCAGGCGCAACGCCCGCGAGGTGCTTCGCGCCTGCCCTGGTACCCCCCTATCGCCCTTGTCAGAGCGACCAATGCAAGATGATCGCGGGGCGTCCGCGCATGTTCAAGACTTTCGGAGGTTGATAGACCTCCTGCCCTGACACGTCGATTAAGGAATTGGCCGTTTTCGGTTCGCGAGAGGGCGTCGCGGTCGTCATTTTTGCGGGTCCAGGTCCGTCGTTTTCGGTCCTAAGCCGTTTTCACAGAGGGGAGGTTTACCAAAGGGAGGTTTGTCCACCGCCGAGATTTTGCCGCAGCGTGCACTTCTCATTGGTTTTTAAAAGGGGCGGTGGGCCTGTAAACGTATGGCCATCTGCTGCCCTTCCTCTCGCCCTTCGGGCCCCCCGAACATGATCCACATTTTGCCGGCAAGTGCACTTGGCACGGTTTGCGACAGAGATGGTTGGGGTCATCATGATTTCGATTTTGTCCCAATAGGGTGGGGGAGGGGGGGTATATTCATAGGAGAGCGCGCGCGCACACGGAACTCGCAAAGGGGGGGGGGCCCCTGCTGGAAGCTACCCCCCACTCCCCCCCTTTCTGGTCCCCCCCCGGAAGCTCCCCCCCTCTCCCCCCCTTTTGCCGCTCCGGAAGCTACCCCCCCCACTCCCCCCTTTCCAAAGGCCTCCTTTGAACCCCCCCTGCTGGAAGCTACCACCCCCCTCCCTTGAACTCCCCCTGCCAGACGATCCTGTCCTGTCGCCGTCGTCTTTGTCGTCGCCGTCGCTCGACGTCTTCGTACGACGCCGTCGAAAACGAGAAAACAAGACAACGAACCAGGGGCCGAGAAAACAAACAAAAACCAAGGGGCCGAGAAAACGAGAAAACGAACCGGGACCCGAGAAACCGAGACCACGACCCAGGGGCCGAGACAACGAGAAAACGAGAAAACGAACCGAGGCCCGACAAAAAAAACGAGACCACGACCCAGGGGCCGAGAAAACGAGAAAACGAACCAGGGTCAGAGAAAACAAAACCACAATCCAGGGGCCGAGAAACGGATAACACGAGAAACCGAACCAGGGTCCGAGAGAACGGAACCACGATCCAGGGGCCGAGACAACAAAAAACGAACCAGGGTCAGAGAACACGAGACCACGACCCAGGGGCCGAGAACACGAGAAAACGAGAAACCGAACAGGGGTCCGAGAAAAGAAAACACCACGGCCCAGGGTCCGAGAAATCAAGAGAACGAGATCACGAACCAGGGCCCGACAAAAACAACACAAAGAAACAAAAGCCGAGAAAACGAAACAACGAACCAGGGTTCGAGAAAACGAGACCACGACCCACGGGCCCAGAACACGAGAAAACGAGAAAACAAACCAAAGTCCGAGCAAACGAGACCACGACCCAAGGGCACAGAAAACGCGAAAACGAACCAGGGTCCGAGAAAACACGACCACGACCCAGGGGCCGAGAAAACGAGAAAACGATAAACAGGAATCAGGGCCCGAGAAAACGAGACTACGAACCAGGGGCCGAGAAAACAAGAAAACCAAACAACGAACCAGAACAGAGAAAAGAAGACCACGACCCAGGGGTACAGAAAACCAAAAAACGAGAAAACGAACCAGGCCCCGAGAAAACGAGACCACGACCCAGGAGCCGAGGAAATGAGAAAACGCGAAAACGACCCACGACCCAGGGGACGAGACAACGAGAAAACGAACCGGGATCCGAGAAAACCAAGACCCAGGGGCCAAGATCACAAGAAAACGCTTGGTTCGAGAAAACGAGACCACGACCCAGGAGGCGAGAAAACGAAGAAACGAGAAGACGAAGCAGAGTCAGAGAAAACCAGACCACCACCCGGGGGCCGAGACAACGAGAGAACGAGAATATTAACCAGCGTCCGTGAAAACAAAACCACGACCCAGGGGCCGAGAAAACGAGAAAACGAAGCAGAGCCCGAGAAACCTGGACCACGACCCAGGGGCCGAGATAACGAGAAAACGGGAACATGAACCAGGGTCAGAGAAAACGAGACCGCGACCCAGGAGCCGAAAACACGAGAAAACAAGAAAGCGAACCAGGGGCCGAGAAAATGAGAAAACGATAAAATGAATCAGGGCCCGAGAAAGCGAGACTACGAACCAGGGGCCGAGAAAACAAGAAAACCAGAAAACGAACCAGGGGTCGACATTATTCTCCAATACGTTCTCTGGCGCTGCGGTGCGCACCTGTCGTCAGGGATTCCGCCATTTTGCCAGAGCCCCAGAAGGGAGGGGAGGGGGTGGTAGCTTCGGAAGCCTCCCCCCCCCTGCACAGGAGGGGGGAGGGGGGTAGCTTGAAGCCGCCCCCCCTGTGTCTAGACCAAGTGAGGAAGGAGGGAGGGGGGTAGCTTCAGAAGCCCTCCCCCCTTTGAAAGGCCCGGGCTCACCTTCTGCTCCGGATCTGGGAGGGGAGGGGGGGGGGATAGCTTCGAAGTCCCCCCCCTTGTAGCCAGGGCCCCCTAGCTTAGAAACCCTCACAGGAGGGAGGGGGGGGGTAGCTTCGGAAGCTCCCCCCCCTTTTCGAAGGAAGTGTGGGGGGGGTAGCTTGAAGCTGGGTCCCCCCTTTTAGTATTGAGCTCCGTACGGGCGCGCTCTTTCATTCATAGGGAGCAGTGGTAAACGCCTTCCCGAAGGAGAAGTAGGGGTCCCTAAAGCACCTTCGCCCAGAGAGTTGGTGGGATTCGTCGTCGGTATCGCCGCGGATGTCGCCTGCATGTAATGAGAAGTGCCGCAGCGGTGGTTGTCTGTTTCAACACGTGCTGTTGGGCATCGTCCCAATCCTGGCGGTTCCCGATTCAGACATAAACAGTCAAGACGCTGAAATAATGACCAAATGGAGGGGCTCAGGATTTCCGGCCGTTTCTTGGATCCAGGCTGGGGAATTTATTCGTGGCTGAGGCTCACCGTGGCCAGAAAAGCCGGTTCGTTTCTTACTCAGCGTTCCTTAAGGTAGCGCGATGATTGTATGGGGCGGCGGGGTGACAACAGCGGCCAGGAGGCAATAGCGGGGACAGTTGGGGAGGGACGACAACCGCTGGCGACAGGCAACATTGGCTAGGGCGATGGGGGCTGGCCTTTTTCAAATGCAGTGGCTTCTCCGAGGGTCGTGCCCTTCAAACCCAAACTCCCAATGCCCATGCATTCGAGGAGGCTGGAAGCCTTCTCAGAGTCCCGCCAACCTCGTCCTGACAACCTGCGCGCGCCGCCAAGAGAGCGGGAAGGGAGATGGCGGACGGCGGGACAGCGGATGGCTGGAACCGCGGGAGCCGGCATCGACAGGGAGGAGGACGAGGGCGAGGAGGCGCGATCGACGAACACATCCGTCTTCGCGCCCTCGCGGTCTGGATTCCCGGGGGCGATGCCGTGGATGCGCTGTCGCACAGATGAGCTCCGCGCGGGGCATCCGCGAAATCTTTCCCGTATCCACGAGGTCGCGGCACGGGGGCTCGGCCCGCGAGGCCGTGGATGTGTATCTCTGTCCCAGGGCTCGTTTCGATTCCTCCGATTCGATTCGATTCGATTCGACTTCGATGGATTCCGATTCGATTCGATTCGACTTGGGCTTCCGATTTGGGTTCCGATTTCTTATTGGAGGCGTACTAGCCTGCCGATTTCCGCCGATTCGACTTTTCCCGATTCGGCTGCCGACTTCCGCCGATCCGATTCATGTCGATTGCCGATCCGATTTATCGATTCGATTCTGGGCACTCCTGCTGTCCCGCCCACGAGGGAGGCCGGACCTGAGGGGACGGGGCGGCGCTCCCACTCGGGCATGGAAGCCATAGACCAGGCGCCCTTCGGACAGCGGTGGCAGCCGATCCCGCCTCCTCCCCTTCCGAGGCCGGAGTTTACACACATATCCACCGCCTGGGGAATCAGCGTCCCAATTAGGACTTCGGGAGGACATGGATGTCGTTGGCCCCCCCACCAGGGGCCCGAGAATGTTCATATTCACGGCTTCCTGGATCCCCAGAGCATCGGTCCTCCATTGCGGTCCGCTCCGATCAGAGGTCGCCTATAGGGGCGCGAAGACATTCGCGGCTCAGGCATGGGCTTTGCCTGGTGGTCTGCATCTGTTGGGCGTTGCGCAATGATGGGGCGAGAAACGGAGGGGGGGGAGAAACGTGCACCTTTCGTGCCCCTTTTGGGCCCCAGGGCCACTTTGGGGCACAAAAGGTGCACCTTTCTTCACCCCCCCTCTTTAAGCAACGCCCGAAGCTGGCCGCAAGCTGACAGCGCTCTGCGCAGCGCGAAGCGTAAGGTTTGGTGATTTATGTCCCAGGTCACCGCCAGGGGCGCGAAGACAATCGCGCTTCGCACATCACGGCCTGGGTTGGAGAGCTGCCCTTCCCCAGGGCGGCGGCGCGAAGATGACTGTGCATCGCTGGGCGCGACGCGCAAAGTTAGATGACGCAGGCAAAGTTTGGTGATTTATTTCCCCCCCTTCCCTTCCCCTCCTTCTCCTTCCCCCCCTTTCCCTCCCCCAGCAGCAAAAAGCGCGAGGCCTCGCTACGCGGAGGCTGGGCGGGGAAGAGGTGGAGTAGGAGGAGGAGGAGGAGGAGGAGGAGGAGGAGGAGGAGGAGGAGGAGGAGGAGGAGGAGGAGGAGGAGGAGGAGGGGGGGGAGTGGCGTGAATTCTGAGGGCGATGATGGTCCGGTCGGCAGAGGACAAGCACTGTGCGGCTGGGCCCCTTCGCCCTCCTCACTCTCCCCCCCTCCCTACAGTGGGGGCCCATGCCAAGAAACACCCTGATTGCCTCCAGGGTGCCCTGTGTTTCTTGGGTTTCGACGGTTTAGCTGTGGAAGGAGCGGCGTTCCCAGACCAAAAATCAATGGACGTCCTGGGGTCTCAGGGTTGGGTTTCTTGTGGAATGTTTCTTGTGGAAGGGCCCCTACTGTATATGTTCACCTCCTGCTGCCCATTCCTCCATTCCATATCCACCGTTTTTTCTCCCTTCCCTCCACTTGTGCCTGCCCCCTCCACTTTCATGTCCCCTCTCGTCTCCTCTTTGGCTTGTTGTCTCCCTCCCCTTCTTCCTCGTCCCCATCCTCCCCCTCCCCCCTGTCTCTTCGCCTGCACTCTCCCCCTTCTCGCCTCTTATCCCCCCCCTCCCCCCGCTTCCTCCCCCTCCCTCCCCTCCCCCCGCTTCCTCCCCCTCCCTCATCGTCTCTTCCCTCGCCCCTCGCATCCGCCCTCTCCTCCCCCCTTCGATCCCTCTCGCATTCCCTGTCATCTCCCCCACGTGCTCCATCGTCGCCCGACCCCCAGCGGCCTGAACGTCGTGCGCGTGGGCCGACCTGAGAGCATCCGCGAGGACGTGAAACAGTGCGCCATTTACCCGAAGATGATGATGACGACGACGACGACGACAGCAGCCATTTCGACGATGAGAAGGAGGAGGGGGAGTGGGGACGGGAAGGGAACGAGGGTGAGGAGGAGAAGAAAGAGCACACCGAAGGTACAGGTGGATGAAAGATGTTCAGGGGAAGGATGAGGAGGATGAGGAGGAGAAGGTGGGCGTTGTTTTATTCATTCGTTTGCCGATCGGCGCGGGCCCTCGCACTCCCCTTCTCCCCCCCCCTCTGGAGTAGATCTTGGCTGTTGTTGGCGCCTGTTTCGAGCAGGTGGGGCCTCCAGGGCCAGACCCCCCCTCCCCCCCCTTCCGCCCAATGTCGCAACGCCGAATAAAATTAGCCTGGCGAAGGACCCAACCATATGCAGTTGAGAGTACCGCAATTGTGAATATCTTCTTCGGTGGCGCTCCCTATGGGGCCACGAGCCGTATGAGGGGTTTGCCGAAATGCGTGGCAGTGTACACAACACGAACGAAGACGATAGGTCCGAATATGAAAGCTTGAGCGCGTGCGGGTCGGATCGCGAGCGAGTCTGATTATGAATGAATCTGCGCGCGATTGATTCTATTCGCATGAATGCGTGCATGGATACGCCCAGTGTAAATGTATGTATACGACTGTGAACAGTTTGGGTCTGCGTGACTCTCGGTACTCGTGACTCTGAGCGTCGCCTCTGCAGGGGGCTTCCCTGGGAACCCCGACGGCAGCGCCCGCGCGCCGCGACGCCCATGTCGGCACGCCACACGCCTGGTGTGCGGGACGCATGCGACGGCAGCACTGGGGCCTTCGGTGGGGCCCCCTATGGGGCCACGAAGCGTGTGAGGGGTGTGCCGAAATGGGTGCGCGGGACGCATGCGGACGGCAGCCATGGGGCCTTCGGTGGAGCTCCCTATGGGGCCACGATGGGCCACGAAACGTGTGAAGGGTGTGCCGAAATGGGTGTGCGGGACGCATGCGGACGGCAGCACTGGGGCCTTCGGTGGAGTTCCCTGTGGGGCCACGAAACGTGTGAGGGGTGTGCCGAAATGGGTCACGAAACGTGTGAGGGGTGTGCCGAAATGGGTGTGCGGGACGCATGCGGACGGCAGCACTGGGGCCTTCGGTGGAGCTCCCTGTGGGGCCACGAAACGTGTGAGGGGTGTGCCGAAATGGGTGTGCGGGACGCATGCGGACGGCAGCACTGGGGCCTTCGGTGGAGCTCCCTGTGGGGCCACGAAACGTGTGAGGGGTGTGCCGAAATGGGTGTGCGGGACGCATGCGGACGGCAGCACTGGGGCCTTCGGTGGAGCTCCCTGTGGGGCCACGAAACGTGTGAGGGGTGTGCCGAAATGGGTGTGCGGGACGCATGCGGACGGCAGCCATGGGGCCTTCGGTGGAGCTCCCTATGGGGCCACGAAACGTGTGAGGGGTGTGCCGAAATGGGTGTGCGGGACGCATGCGGACGGCAGCACTGGGGCCTTCGGTGGAGCTCCCTGTGGGGCCACGAAACGTGTGAGGGGTGTGCCGAAATGGGTGTGCGGGACGCATGCGGACGGCAGCCATGGGGCCTTCGGTGGAGCTCCCTATGGGGCCACGAAACGTGTGAGGGGTGTGCCGAAATGGGTGTGCGGGACGCATGCGGACGGCAGCACTGGGGCCTTCGGTGGAGCTCCCTATGGGGCCACGAAACGTGTGAGGGGTGTGCCGAAATGGGTGTGCGGGACGCATACGGTGGAGGGGCCACGAAACGTGTGAGGGGTGTGCCGAAATGGCCGGTGCGGGACGCATGCGGACGGCAGCATGGGGCCTTCGGTGGAGCTCCCTATGGGGCCACGAAACGTGTGAGGGGTGTGCCGAAATGGGTGTGCGGGACGCATGCGGACGGCAGCACTGGGGCCTTCGGTGGAGCTCCCTGTGGGGCCACGAAACGTGTGAGGGGTGTGCCGAAATGGGTGTGCGGGACGCATGCGGACGGCAGCCATGGGGCCTTCGGTGGAGCTCCCTATGGGGCCACGAAACGTGTGAGGGGTGTGCCGAAATGGGTGTGCGGGACGCATGCGGACGGCAGCACTGGGGCCTTCGGTGGAGCTCCCTGTGGGGCCACGAAACGTGTGAGGGGTGTGCCGAAATGGGTGTGCGGGACGCATGCGGACGGCAGCCATGGGGCCTTCGGTGGAGCTCCCTATGGGGCCACGAAACGTGTGAGGGGTGTGCCGAAATGGGTGTGCGGGACGCATGCGGACGGCAGCACTGGGGCCTTCGGTGGAGCTCCCTATGGGGCCACGAAACGTGTGAGGGGTGTGCCGAAATGGGTGTGCGGGACGCATGCGGACGGCAGAGGAGAGGAGGAGGAAGGAGGAAGGAGACGCGGGGCACCGTCTCTTCAAAACGAGGACCCAACACCACAGGATGGTTGGGAAAACAGCGTTCACAAGCTGGAGCTGGAGGAGGGGGAGGATGCGGGGCTTGGATGTGGGATGATGAGGAGGATGAGGAGGAGGGGAGCGCATCAATAACGGTGCCGAGGTTCGCACGCGGAAAAACGCCGCAGTCGAGACCGAACGTCGGCGATTAAAGGCGTCTGGATGACCTCTGGCGAGGTTGACACCGCAACCAACAATAGAATGTGTTGTGTTTGTGAAGTTTCCAGCTTTAGGCGATTGGGCTTGAGAGGCGTCCTTCCTGGCAGGGCCCAAGAACCGATTTTGAAGGCCCAGAAGGGGGCCCGAAGAGACGTGCATGCAGCAAGCATGCATGCCGAAAGCACGTTGGGAACGGTATGAAATTCGAGGTCGTCTTGGATGGCCCGAAAAGGAATGGCGGAGGCCTCTGGGAGGGGAAGGGAGGGGGGAGGCTCCACGGTTAGATTCCACAATCCCCTCAGCTTGGCGGGTGGGCGGATCTAAGCGGCTTGCGCCATTCCGCCGACCCCCAGAAGAAGAATGAGGTAGAGATTGTAGTGGATACGTTTTTTGAGGATCTTAAGCCGTTGCGTGACTCGCATATCTTGGGAAGCATCCTGGGGGCATGCTGGAGGTCTTTGCGGCCAGCTTGGGCGGAGAGGCATGCAGGGTCAGTTCGTAGATCACCTTCTTGGGCCTCTCTAGGGGCCTGCTTGACCCGCTCCAGGCCAATATTGGGGGCTTCTTGAGCTGTTGTGGGGCTTGCTAGGGCCGTCGCATTGGAGATCTCTTGAACAAGGGCTCCCACGAGGGCGCGAAGTTATTCGCGCTTCGCGGTCCTCGTTCCTTCTCCCCCTCGTCTTCTTCCTCCTTTTCTGCCTTTGGGGGGGCGGCGCGAGAGCGCGAAGTTATTCGCGCTTCGCGGAGCGCGAAGCGCGAAGTTGGGAGCCCTAATTGAAGGGGTAGTTCGTCCGTCTTGGAACGACGTTGGGGGCCTCATGGGCCGCCTTGGCTTCACGGAAGCCCGACGAGGCCACATTACGATTCTCAGACCGTAATGAACGGCAGTGATCTTCCCGTCTTGAAGCTTGTGTAGAGGTTGTTTTGGAGCCATGTTTGGGTTTAGTGGGGCTCACGGAGACGGCAGTCTTGCTCTGCCGCGGAGTGACCGACCCGCAGGGGCACCTGTTCATTCAAGACGACCGTTGTGGAAATTTGCATGTGACCGTGATGGAGCACATGGAGCTCTCGGGCACAGAATTGGACGGGAAAGCCTCAACTCAGCACTCATGGGAGCATCGGCGACAGAGGGCGAGTCTGAATCATGTGGCGAATCGCAGAGAGTTTTTTATCCAAACGAGCATCCAGGAAATCAGTGCGCATGGCATTCAACCGGGGGCCAACGAGCTCCGCCATCTATGATAGTGAGATATTGGTGCTAAGCGCCAGCACCCTTGCATCAGTGCGTCAGTGCGTGGGTGGCAAAACGATTACTCGGAGCTGCGAGGAGCGTGACCACCGGGGCCAATGCCTTCCGAAGCCATGCTACGGAGCCAAACATCCATAGACGTTCCGCCCAGTTGCTTGCCAGAGTATGGACATCGGCGAGATCGTCAGTACAGATACCAATGCGCATGCGACAACGAGTTCTTGGTCAACTTCGTGACCGGCCAGGCTAAAATGGCGCAGCGCGCAAAAAGTTCAGTACAGTAGCGCTTGGTCTGACAGCCGCATTGGCATAGCAGGCACATTTGTACCCTAGAAGTGATGTGTCGAAGGCGGTAAGGAGGCGCCGTCAATGCAACCGAGGGGCAGATCACTTTGCCAATGTTGCCATGAAGGGCCCGCAGGGAGAACGGCGCTAGCGCGGCCGCCTTCTGAGTGCGGGCTTTGGCCCACGAAGAACGGACACTGGTAGCATTCGGTGCTCTGTATCACCAGCGCTCCACCGACAGCCTCGCGCATCTCTCGCCTTGAGTGTCGGAATCGAGGCGGCATTCTGTCTTGTTTACGACCGCCCCAATCGTCGGAAAGTAGAGCAATGGATGAAGGATCGCTTGGGGGTTCATTCTCATGATTCCAATTGAATCTGGAGCGTCTGAACTTTGAGTTTGAGGTTCCTGCTGTTATTATGAATCCCGAGTTGTTTTACATGGACTGCTCAGAGCACGTTGCATGCGCTTCCTGGGCAGGTAGTTTGTTCACTGCATGTGATAGCTGGAGTCACAACACAACAACGAACACATATACATATCCATTTACATATTTATACACATGTATATGTATGAATGTTTTTGTAGATATATTTACACGCATTGTTTTTCTGATCGTTCCCGTGCCAATGCAGGGTCCCGAATGGGCCTTCTTCGAGGTCTCTTGGGGCCGTTTTCAGGCCGTCTTTTGGGCCTCTTGGGCCGTGTTGGTGTATGTATGTGTCAATGTATGTATGTATGTATGTGTATTTGCATGTGCATGTCCATGTGCACGCGCACGTGCACGTGGATGTGTATGTTCATGTGCATGTGTATGCGTATGTGTATGTGTATGTATATGTATATGTGTATGTAGGTGTATGTGTATGTGTATGTGCATGTTTGTGTGCGCTTGCGTCTATACACGTGTGTCTACGCATGTACAGATATAGATGTACACATGCATGTATGTATATATGTATATAGATGTGCGTATATATATATATACACCGCATATGTAGTGTATCTCTCATTATGTCTCTCTCTTTCTGTCAATACAGTATGTGTATATGTACCTCTTCTCTCTTGTGCTCTCTATCTCTCTTTTGGCGTTCTCCTCCCCTTAATCGTTCCCCCCATCACCCCGCGCAGTGTACTGCCTCCCCGCTGTCAGGTATGCGCTCGACGGCCGCTGGAAAGAGCTGAAGAAGGCAGAGGTAGCTCCAGGGTCCGCGCAGCCAGCGGACCAGTCAACGGGATTCGGCATCTTAAGTGCAGCGGGTGTTAGACAGAAGTCAAAGAAGGCGGGATGAAATAGCTGTAATAGCTGGGAGGAGGCTCGAAGGCAGGAGAGCCAGAGGAGCAAGAGTGGGGAGGACAGGATTGAGTGCTGCTCGTGTGTGTGTGTGTGTGTATGCGTGCTTGTGTTTGTGTGTGCGCGTTTGTGCGTGTGTGTATGTGTGTGTGTGTGTTTGTTGTCTTTGTGTGCGCGCGCGCTGGGATACGGTCGCTTTTCATAGCAAACGTGTTTGAGTGTGTGCACCTTGTGCTCATGAATCTTGTCCGCCCCTTCGAGACCGTGGGTGTCAGCATATCACGGGGATTACGACAGTACGGCACGGCATGGTGCCAGAGAGGGTGGGGGGCACCAGGGCCACAGGGTTGCTGAACCCGCGCCATTGTCTGAATCACCCTTGCCACCACCGTTTTTGCATCCCCTCCTCCGCCTCCTCGCCCCGTCTTTGCGCGCCGCGCGGCGGCCGCTATCAGTGCCGTATCCTATTGAGCCGTCTCCTCTCCTCGTCATTTTCTCCTCGTTCTCCTCCTCGTTCTCCTCCTCCTCCTCGTTCTCCTCCTCCTCCTCCTCCTTGTTCTCCTCCTCCTCCTCCTCCTTCTCCTCCTCCTCCTCGTTCTCCTCATCCGTCCCGCTTCCTTGTAGATATTCCCCCTTGTGTCAGCCCTGGGCGTGTCCGTCGGGCGGGCCAGGCGTTTCGCTTGAGATAGTTTCACGTTTCGTGGCATTCAAGCTTTAACTTCGTAGCTGTTACACGGATGGATGGGGGGTCGTTCTTATCACCTTAGTGCCGCGCCTATATTTGCAACAGCTACACGGATGGAGGTGGGTCGCTTTCAAGATGGAGTTCTCGCCTCAGCGCCGCGCACACTCGCTCTAAAAGTGTGCAGCAGCGTTGTAGATGCAGCACAGTTCGTTTTCAGAAGGGGTCTCTCGCCTGAGCGCTGCGCACATTCGTTTGAAAGCTTTGCAAGGGGAACAAGGATGGAGGACGGTCTCTTTCAAAGGAGGGCTGTCGCTTAACACTTGCGCAATAAAGTCCAGAGACTATGAGACATGTGGCAGCTGGGCTGATGTAGGGATATGGAGGGTTGCCCCTTTGAAAACGGGATTTTCGCTTGAGACTTCTTTGAAGCCCATGAACAGAAGTGCGAGCTCGTGCTGCAACAGCATCACGGATTGGGCGGTCCTCTTACGAAGCGGGAGTTTCGTTGGACACCTCGCAGATTTGCATGAACCATGTATGTTCGCATTCTTGCTCACGCACTGAAGGATTCAAATCAGTTTCCTCTCCAAGCGGGATTCTCGCGGCTCTCGCCTGAATGGTAGGCTCAGTGGGTGCCAGTCTTTCAAGGGCCCTTCGCGCAGTGGAAGGGAAGGCTGGGGGTTTGCGAGGAGGGGACTTCGGATGGGAGGGTGTGTTGCAGCATCGCTGACGCACGCAGAATTTACATATGGTCCTCTGCTTCCTCCTCTTCCTCATCCCCCTCCCCCCTTGGACGTCTTGCCCCGTGATCTCAGTTCTAGAGTGTAAGTATTGTTGATCCCTCCACTGCGGTAGCCATTGCATTTTTTCGACTGAAGTGCCCCCCTCGGGGCTCGCACCCGCTTGTTTATCAGGGAATGCGTGGTGTCACCAAACTGTATTGTCGGGCCCCGGACTACTACAACTACAACTGCAGTCATTTTAAGACTGTTCGCTCGTATCTGCGCGCGTGCAATTCAATTCGTATATCCCAAACCTTCGATACCCACCCTCGTCGCTTTCGATCGTGACCCCCCTGGGGGCATATGTTCTTACCTGCTGTTTGTATGTCATGCAGCTCTTACGGCAGGGGAAAAGACGGATGGAAGAAGGAGACAATGGGGGAGGGAATAGTATGGAGCACGAGAGAAAGAGAGAAAGAGAGAGAGAGAGAGAAAGAGAATAGCAGGAGAGGGGGTAGGAGCAGAACTCACGTTGCAGAATATCGGGCGGAGCGAATAGACCTTAACAGGCGGGTCGGGAAGGCGGACCCAGGCGGCCAGGTCGAGCAGGCGGGTTGCTGAAGCGTGCGTCTTGCATGAATCGCGAGTCTCGAGCGATAGCGCGGTTCCCAAGTAAATCATGAGATGGGCCAAAGCGAGAGCGTGATTCCTGAGTGTCAAGGCGCGGCGTCTGAATAAATTGCGAAAGAGTCCTATGCGAGAGCGCGATTTCTGCATTAATTGTAAGGACATCCCGCGCGAGAGCGCGATTTGGGAATATATCGAGAGGAACTATCAGGCGGGAGCCGCTCTTGTTGTAAACCGGGGGCCGAACACCCGATTCTGAGACCCGAGACTTTCCCTGATAAAAGCCGGGTGCGAGTCCTTAACAAATACAATGTGCCCCAGAGGGGGATCAACAACAATCTCTCTTAAGTAGTAAGGGTTCAACAACAACAACGGCTCCCGCCTCATACTTCCTCACAGTGTATTCCCGCATCGCGCTCTCGCGCGGGACGTCCTCACTCTTTATGCAGAAATCGTGTTCTCGCGTGGGACTTTCTCGCAATTTATTCAGACGCCACGCCTTGACACTCAGGAATCACGCTTTCGCTTTGGCCGATCTCATGATTTACTTGGGAATACCGCGCTCGCTCCGCGATGCGCTGTTCACGATTGATTCACCAACACGCCTTTTCGACCTGGCCGCTTGGGCCCTCCCTCCCGACTTGAATGTCAGGGTCCATCCGCCCGATGGGCCCGTCTGGTTCTGCCACGTGTCTTCTGTTCCTGGCCCCCCTCTTGTTAATCCCGTGCTCTATCTGCTGCCCTCCCCCTTTCATCCGTCTTCCTTTCCCTTGTTGTAGGCTTGCGTCAAGTACACGTGGCAGGTCAGAAAGATCTGCCCCCACGGGGGTAACATCGAAGACGAAGAGGGCGGGTACCGAGGGTTTGGGATATACGTGTTGAATGGCACACCCGCAAGTACGGCCGAACAGTCTTAAACTGATAGGTGTTATTGTTGCTGCTGTTGTTATTGTTGTTGTTGTGGTTGTGGTTGTGGTTGTTGTTGTTGTTGTTGTTGTTGTTGTTGTTGTTGTTGTTGTTGTTGTGGTTGAACTCTCGTTTATGAAGAATCATTATTGTTGATCCCCCTCATCGGTGCATACTGTTTTTCTCCATCAAATGTGCCCTTCGATGCTGGCACCATGTTTTTTGACAGGGAACGTTTTCCTTCTCAAACTGGGCCCCTGGCCCCCCAGATTACAATAACAACGGTTCCCGCTTGAGACTCCCACCCAATTTAGGACCCCCGTTCTTGAGACTTTCTCACAAGTTACTCAGGATCGGTGATCCCGTTTGTGACGCCCTCGCAATGTAGTCAAGACCCCCGCTCTCATTTGAGACTTCCCCACAATTTACTCGGAAACGGCGCTCCCGCTTGAGACTTCTTCGCAATTGGGTCAAGCTTTCTTCGCAATTTAATCAAGGCCCCCGCTCCCGCCAGAGAACCCTTCACATGTTATTCAGGAATTGCGCTCTCGCCTGTGACTTCCATGCAATGGATTCAAAGATCGCGCTTTCGACGCTCAGGAAACACGGTGCGCCAAGGACGCCGTTACAATTTATTTGGTAACCGCGTTCTCGCCATACTTAGGCATCCCACTTGAATGTCCCACCCGCCCGACCCGCCCGTCAGGGGATCGCCCGCCCGTCGTTCCTTCAGGAACGGCGTTTTCGCCGATGACTTCCTCGAACGTTCACGCTCTTACCTTCCTGCTCCTCCTCCCTCTCCGTCCTCCCTCCTTTCCTCCTTTCTCTCTCCCTCCTCTCTTCCCGCATATTTATGCCTCTCTGCCCATATCCCTCTCCCTTCTCTCCCTCCTCCCTTCTCCCTCCCCTCCCCTGCCTCCTCCCCACCTCGTTCTTTCTTTATTTCTTTATTTCTCTCTCTCTCTCTGTCTCTCTCTCTCTCTCTCTCGTTCCCCTCCTCTTTCTCTCTCTTTCTCTACCTCTCTTAGATGTCTTTCTCTCTCTCTCTCTCTCCCTCTCCCCTCTCTCTTTTTTTTTTTTCTCTCTCTCTCTCTCTCTTTCCCTGCCTCTCATCAACCGCCCCCCTTTTGGCTCTTTCTCTCCTGGCGTTTTCCCTCTTCCTTCGTCACTCCCCTTCCCTTCCTCCCACTCTCCCTCGTTCTCCCACGCCCCTTTTTGCAGGGCCCACACCAATTCAAATGGCGGGCACATGTACGCCCACACGGGCAAGTAAGAGCGAGCAGTCTTATAATGATTGATGTAGTAGTAGCCGTAGTAGTAGTAGTAGTAGTAGTAGTAGTAGTAGTAGTAGTAGTAGTAGTAGTAGTAGTAGTAGTAGTAGTGGTAGTGGTAGTAGTAGTAGTAGTAATACTAGTAGTAGTAGTAGTAGTAGTAGTAGTAGTAGTAGTAGTAGTAGTAGTAGTAGTGGTAGTAGTAGTAGTAGTAGTAGTAGTAGTAGTAGTAGTAGTAGTGGTAGTGGTAGTGGTAGGGGTAGTAGTAGTAGTAGTAGTAGTAGTAGTAGTAGTAGTAGTAGTAGTAGTAGCAGTAGTTGAAGTAGTAGTAGTAGTAGTAGTAGGAGGAGGAGGAGGAGGAGGAGGAGGAGGGGTAGCAGTAGTAGCAGTAGTAGCAGTAGTTGTTGGTGTTGCTGTTGTTGTTGTTGTTGTTGGTTTTGTTGTTGTGTTTGCTGTTGCTGTTGTTGTTGTTGTCGCTGTTGGTGTTGTTGCTGCTGTTGTTGTTGTTGCTGCTGTTGCTGTTGTTGTTGCTGCTGTTGCTGATGTTGTGTGTGTGTGTGTTTGTTGTTGTTTGTGTTGTTGTTGCTGTTGTGGTTGTTGTTGTTGTTGTTGTTGAGTTCGGTGTTGGTGTGTTCGTTGTTGCTGCTGTTGCTGTAAACAACACTTATTGCTGATATGCAGAAGCGGTTCCGCGCGCTCGCCTCGACGCCAGCTACATTTTGTCTAAAAGCGAGACTCCCGCTCGAGCGTTGGTTTGAGCCTAAATGTGGGCCTTTGGAGGTCCAGCTACGACAACAACGGTTCCCGCTCGATACTTTTTCACAATTTACCCCGAGACATACTGGCCAGAGAGGCCACCGAACTCAGGAACGGCGCTCTCGTTCGAGACTTCCTCGCAATTCAGTCGAGTCGGCAGAGGCCCAGCCACGGCGACAAGGGCTCCTACTCGATATTTCCTTACGATTTGCTCCGAGTGCCCCTGGCCAAAAAGGGCCCGAACTCAGGAACGGCGCTCTCGCTAGAGACTTTCCCGTAATTCAGGCAAGTTGGTGGAGGCCCGGACACGGCGACAACGGCTTCCGTTCGATATTTCCCCACGGGTATTCCGAGAGTCCCTGGCCAGAGAGGCCCCCGAACTCAGGAACGGCGCTCTCGCTCGAGACTGTTCGCACTTCAGTCAGTGGCCGACAAGGAAGAGATTCCCTCCGAAAAGGGGTGCAATCGAAGACGAAGTGGGCGGGTATCGAGGCGTGGGGTATACGGAATGCAAAACAAGCGTTCCAGTAAGAGCGAACAGTCTCAAAATGATTGCTGTTGTCGTTGTTGTTGTTGTTGGTGTTGTTGTTGCTGTTGTTGACTTCTCATTGCTGGAGAATTCTGTATTGTTGGTCCCCCTCCAGTGACCATTGTATTTTTCAATAAAGTGTTTCCTCCGGGGCTCGCATCCTGTTTTTTATCTGGGCAATCACGGTGCCCAAACTGGGTTATTGGCCCCCAGAGTACAGCAACAACAGCAACAACAACAACAACAACGGCTCCGGCTTGAAACTTCCTCACAATTTAGCCAGAACCCCGCTCCCGCCTGAGACTTCAACGCATTTTACTGAGGAGTCGCGCTCTCGGCGCTCTGGTGTCGCGCTCTCGCTGGAGATTGTTTGCGCATGACAAAAGAATCGCGCTCTTGCGTTGGAGTTCCCGGTAATTTACTCAAGCGCCGCGCTCCCGACACTCAGGCACCCAGGAGTCGCGCTCACGCTTAGGATTCCTTCATAGCTTACTTGGGAATCGGGATCTCGCTGCCCTTCGCGGCTCCGTTGTAGCCCTTCGTGGCCCTTCGCTTCCCTTTTTGGCCCCCTCGCTGCCCTTCGTGGCCCCGTTGCAGCCCTTCGTGGCCCCCTCGCTGCCCTTCGTGGCCCCATCTACGTATGCCCTTCGTGGCGCCCGTTTGTTCGCGCCTGCCGTGGCCCCATATGAATGCGCTTCGTGGCCCCGCTGTCGCCCTTCGTGACCCTCTCGCTGCCCTTCGTGGCGCACTTGCTGCCCTCAGTGGCCCCGTCCTTGCCTTTTGTTGCCCAATATACGTATGTCCTTCGTGGCCCCCGCTCGTTCGCGCCCGTCGTCGTCGTCGTGGCCCATCTGCATGCATTTGGTGGCCCCATCTGCACACCCTTCGTGGCCCCGTTGCAGCTCTTCGTGGCCCCTTCGCTGCCCTTTGTGGCCCTTTTGCAGCCCTTTTGTGGCCCCACATGCATGCACTTCGTGGCCCCGTTGCAGCCCTTCGTGGCCACCTCGCTGCTCTTCGTGGCCCCATCTATGTATGCCCTTCGTGGCACCCGCTTGTTTTCGCCTGTCGTGTCCCCATTTGCATGCGTTTCGTGGCCCCGTTGTCGCCCTTCGTGACCCCCTCGCTGCCCTTCGTGGCACCGTTGTTGCCCTTCGTGGCCCTGTCCTTGCCTTTTGCGGCCCAATATACGTACGCCCTTCGTGGCCCCCGCTCGTTCGCGCCCGTCGTGGCCCATATGCATGCGCTTCGTGGCCCCGCCGTCGCCCTTCGTGGCCTCTTCGCTGGCCCCGTTGCTACCCTCAGTGGCCCCCTCGTTGCCCTCTGTGGACCCGCATTATCAGCCCTTCGCGGCCCCCGCTCGTTCGCGCCCTTCGTGGCCCCATACGCATGCCCTTCGTGGCCCCGCCTCGCTCTCGCTTTCGCTCGTCGTCGTCGTCATCGTCGCCGTCGCCGTCGTCGTCGTGGTCGGTCCCCTGTCCGTTCCTCTTGGGGTCGGGTTGCCGCCGATCAGCGTTGCCGCTGGCCAGGCCGACGGCCCGCGACCGCCGCTTCCCGGGGCCCGGCTTGCAGGGAAAAAGGATATACCCCCCCAAAGGGGTACGATCGAAGACGAAGAGGGCAGGTTTCGAGGGTGTGGGAAATATACGCCGACGGCTACTCGAACAGATAAGAGCGAACAGTCTTAAAAATATGTTTGTAGTTATTGTTGTTGATGTAATTGTTGGTGGTGTTATTGTTGTTGTTGTTGCTGTTGCTGTTGTTGTTACTGTTGCTGCTGCTGTTACTGCTGCTGCTGTAAATACTATTGTTGTTGTTGATGATGGTGGTGTTGTTGCTGCTACTGCTGCTGTTGTTGTGTTTGTTGTTGTTGCTGCTGATGATGTTGCTGCTGTTTTTGCTGTCGTTGTTGTGGTTGTCGTTGTTGTTGTTGTTGTTGTTGTTGTTGTTGTTGTTGTTGTTGTTGTTGTTTGTGTTATTGTTGTTGCTGTTGTTGGTGATGTTGCTATAGTTGTGGTTGTTGTTGTCGATGTTGTTTTTGTTGTGTTTGTTGTTGTTGTTGGTGTTGTTGCTGTTGTTGTTGTTGTTGCTGTTGCTGTTGCTGTTGCTGTTGTTGTTGTTGTTGTTGCTGTTGTTGATGTTGTTGCTGTTGTTGTTAGTGTTGTTGTTAGTGTTGTTAGTGTTGTTAGTGTTGTTAGTGTTGTTAGTGTTGTTAGTGTTGTTAGTGTTGTTGTTGTCATGTTTGTTGTTGCTGTTGGTGGTGGTGTTGTGGCTGGTTTTATTGTTGTTGTTGATTGTTTGCTTGTTTATTTGGTTGCTTGTTTGTTTTTGTTTGTTTTGTTGTTGATGATGTTGCTGTTGCTGTTGTTGCTGTTGCTGTTGTCGTTGTCCTCGATCTCCCCCCCACATACCCTCTCTTCCGTTCGGCCGACAAAGACCGCCCCGCCACGCGAGGAAGCCGCCACGGGAGTTGGGGAGGCCTGGCACAGACCGTCCAGCGTAGAGTGTTCTCCACGGTTCTGGAGCGTGGAAGAGAGTGGAGGTCCGCACACATGCCCTGGTCATGACACGCTCGCGGAGCGCTGTCTAGGCCTTTTGCAGTCGACTGGGGGAGGCGCACCCATCCCACGCCCAAGCAGCGTACTTTAAAACCAGGCCCAGCGTAGCCCGGTAGATCGGGTCGCACTCCTCCGAGGGCTGGGTAAGAAGGCACGCTGTGACGCACGCATGGTGCGCTGACCTTCCTCTTCCTGGCCTTCCCCTCTTTCGCGCATCCGGAAGGTGGTCTGCGCCACGTGCATCGGTGCCTCCGGCACGACCCTGGACAAGGTCCGGTTCAGCACGGTCCTCATCGACGAGTGTACGCAGGCCGCCTGCCCGGCGGCAGCAGCGAGGGCGCTTTGTTGCTGAATGATGGGACTTTTTATGCCTCGGGCAGAATCGATCTCTGGCGTCGGGCCGTGGAGGAGGAGGAGGAGGAGGAGGAGGAGGAGGAGGAAGAAAAGGGTATTCATGGTGATGTTGATGACGGGGACGGGGAGGAGGAGGAGGAGGAGGAGGAGGAGGAGGAGGAGGAGGAGGAGGAGGAGGAGGTGAAGAACTGATAGGAGGAGCAAAACAAACTACGTCTCCTGTTCCTGCTAGTTTGTTCTTCCCCTCTTCCACCCGCTCTGCCAGGCCTGCTTTTCCACCTGGAGGAGGATGAGGAGGAGGAGGAAGAAGAAGGATGCCCCCTCCTACTCCTCCATCTATCCGCCCAACCATGCCTTCCTGTCTCCGTGCATCTTTTTGTTTGGACCTGGGGACCTCGTTGCCCATGGCCGGACGTAGCTCGAAGGCCTGACCAGGACGGTGCCCATGAGGGACCGACCGAGTCACCCGCAGGGGCGCGGTGCATTCCTCCGACCACGCTTCCTCTGGCCCCACTTCGGTGGCCTTCAGAGGCTTCGCCGGGAGGGAAAGGTGATGCGATTTCTTCCCAACCATCCTGTTGGGTTTGCGTCTTGAATCCGCAGCGCCCCCGCGTCCCACCTCCTCCCCGTCCCCATCCTGCCTCTGCTCTGACACGCCCGACACGCTTCGTGGCCCACTAGGGAGCTCCACCGAATGTCTCAGCGGGCCCGATCGCACGACGGCGCCGCTCCTATTTCGGCGCACCCCTCACGTGCTTCGTGGCCCACGTGCGGTCTCAGCGGGCGCGACGGGAGGGCGGCGCCGGCTTCCATCTCAGCACGCCTCTCACACGTTTTGCGCCCCTCGGTCTCAGTGTGGGCGTGACCGCATGGCGGCGCCACCCCAATTTCGGCACACACACACACACACGCACACACACACACACACCTCACAGCTGTCGTGGCCGCAGCAGGGTGCTCCACCTAATGCCCCCGTGTGCGCGACCGCGTCGCGGCGCCGCTCATATTTCGACAAGTACACACATTCACACACACACACACACACACACACACACGCGCGTGCGCACGAACGCACACACGCACACACACACACCAACTCACACCACCACCCCATCGCACACCATCACACACCTCACAGGTTTCGTGGCCCGTAGGGTGCTTCACCTACTGGCCCAGTGGGCGCGACCGCATGGTAGCGCCGCGCCCTATTCGGCACACCTCTTGCACAAATTGTTTTGTGCTCCAGGGGTGCACGAATTGTCCCAGTAGGCGCGACGGCATGGCGGCGCCGCCCTAATTTTGGCACCCCCCTCACGCGTTTCGCGCGTCTTAAGAAGGAGCTCCAGCTTCGGGCGCCACCGCATGGCACAACCGCGCACATTCCCGTACACCATTGCGCGGTTCGCGCCCATCAGGGAGCCCCAATTCTTGGGTCGCCCCGAATGGACAATTCATCGGTTCAGGTTCTGAAAAGCCTTCGGCATGGGTTACGAGGGCTTCCTGGAACCTGATCAAAGTGCATGCAACTAAGGGGGGGGCCTACAGGGGGAGGGGAAGGGGGGTACGGTAGGTTCATGCGGCGTAAGCGCGACGGCGACGTTGGCGAAGGCGTTCAAGGTTGAATTCTGCGACGCGGCGAAGGCGGAGGCGTTCGGTAACGCCATTGGGCCCGACTGAATTGAACCTTGAACGATTGGGGACGCGATCGATTCGAGGTTGAACGATCGACGCGGCGTCAAGAACCTTGGCGCGCGCCGACGCCGCACGAACCTACCGTGTATAGCTTCCACAGGCTGGAAGTGGGGGGAGGGAGGTGAGTTTCGGAACGGGCGCCCAAAGGAGGAGGTGCTTGAGGGCGTACCCCCCTCGGTGCTCCCCAGCCAAGGGTACCTAAACAACGTGTGCAAGGACGCGGCACGCAACGCTTCACCGAATTGCGAATTGTAAACACAACACGTTCGCGGCGCGGCACGTACCACGAGTTGTACCCAGGACGTGGCACACGGCACGCCATGCGGCACAGAACATTACACGGAGCAGGGTATGGCGCGTGCCAAAGGTTGTGCCGAGCTCTGTTTTTGGTTCCGCAGCGCGCTTGACCGAATCACGCAAGGTAAGTTTTGTTTAGGTTGCGCCATGAGTTGCGACAGAACTTGCGCTCGGCACGCTCAACCGGATGACGATTTGGTCCGTTCTGTCCAGGTTACGCCGTTGGTTGCATGCCCGACCGAGTCAGGATTTGTTCGGCGTTGCCCAGGTTGTGCCATACCTTTTGGTATCAGTTTGTTGCGTCATTAGTTGGGCACGGCGCGCTCAACGCTCGATTCGGTCGGTTCTGCCCAAGTTGTGTGCCATAGGTTTTGCTTCAGATTGTTGCGCCACAGGTTGCGCACGGCACTCCCAAACAAATCACGATTTGGTCCCACATGTCCAGGTTGCGCCATTGGTTGCGCACCGCACGTCCCACCGAATCACGGCTTGGTCCGTTCTGTCTAGGTTGCGCCGTATTTTGCGCGCGTCACACCCCACCGAATCACAGTTTGGTCCATTCTGTCCAGACACGTCATCGTCGGTTTCCAATGTCAGAGTTTGTTTTTAGTTGCATCAGAGTTCCCAGTCACGGTTGGCAAGAGAGCTGATCTATTCGAGCTCATGGGTTGCACATTCTTACGATGTTCCAGGTACTCAATGTGAGCAGTCATGTCACGAGTCCGTATTGGGTTTAAATATGATGGTTCTTCCATGCCGTTCTGCTAGTCAGATGGACGCGGTCACAATTGCGTTCTTCAGTTGGGGAAGCGCTGACCCTCAGTAGGGTCAAGCCTCCAAAGAGCATATCTAGAACGGGAGCTATTCAGGATCGGAGGCCGAGCAAGACGATGGTCAAGATTAGAGGAGGTTTGTCAAAGGCTATGCCGTCCAGGGCATCTCCGGTATCATTTCTTCTAAGCCCAGCTACGCTGGCGTCACAGGTACATGCATACATCAACCTCCGCTGCTCTCATGACATAATGGAAACCGTTGTATCGCTGTTCGCATCCACAATTGAGTTCAAAGCCCTCGTTTCGTCCATCATCCTCTGCTCCTGCTTGAAGGGAATAGGATGGGGCACTGCTGGATGTAGGAGGGAGGACCGAGAGTCAACGGAGGAAGTGCAGACTCGGGCAGTATCGTGGCGGGAGACGTGGAGGAAAGCGGAAGAAAACAGCGAGATTGGGGGAGAGGTCTTTGCCGCACCGTCTCCTTGCGGACTGCCCCGCTCTAGCGTGCTCCCCGGCAGGCTGCGGAGTCTGCTGCCTTGGTGCCGCTTGCCCGAGGCTGCCAGCAGGCGCCACCGAGCATGATGCGCGCTCGTGAAGCTACACGCGCGTGCGGCTGGCTTGTTCGACCCCTCGTTGTTCCCAAGAGTTCGGCAAACATGTTTCAACATTGGAGGTTTGGGATGCTAGCTATCGCAGAGCAGAGCAATTGGTGCAAAGTAAACCCCGATGCCTTGGGACACATTCGGGGGAGCCCCAGCCCTTTGCCTCCAGCGCGTGGCACGTCCAAGCGTCGCTTTTAGGTCCCAGCGCAGATGCATAATCCTCCAAACCAGTGGGCGGCTTGGGGACTCGCAACGCAGCAGCGATCATGTCGGTGCCGATATGAGGCACCTCAACAACTCCCACCTCCATCCCTGGCCAGTAGTCCTTCAGATCCTCCTGCCTTGGCCAATTGTTTCAGCGTTTTCTGGCATTGATCAGGGGGGGGAGACACACAGCCACAATTAATCTTCGATTCCCATGATAATATGGCAAAATATTCGAAGTGGAGGGGAAGACGAACATCCAGAGAACATGCAAACTATTGGGAGTGCTGGAATTTGCGTCTACTTATTTGTGTGTCCGTGGGCCGCTTCATTGGTTGTGATTCAGTTATCCTCCCACTGGGCAGCATTGATTTTCGGCCGTCTCATGTCGTGTTCTCCCCAGGCCAGGTTTCTGAGGCCCTGGCCGTTTCCGCCAATATGTGTCTTCGAGCTTCGCTTTTTATTTGGCCATCCTCCCAGCGGAGAATGGCGGGGAGGAGCAAGGAGGGAAAGAGGAGGAGGAGGAGGAGGAGAAAGAGAAGGGTGAGGAGGAGGAGCAGCAGCAGCACCACCACCAGCAGGAAGGCTCTCGAGTGGCCGCTGCCCCGCGTGGTGTCGCAGGTCCCTGGTGGTCGACTGCCGAATCGGTGCGAACCGCGCAACCCGCTCTTGGCGTAGATCCTTCCAGTCTAAGCTGCAGTGGTGGACGGGAGGAACCATCCTCCCTTTGCCCCTCCTCGTTCCCCTCCTTCTTCCCCTCCTGCTGCTCTTCTCCCCTCTTGCTCCTCTTACTCCTGCAGCTCTTCCTTCTCCCTCCTCCTGTTCCTCCTCCTCCTCCTCCTCCGTACCCTGACCACTGCTGGGTGATCTCTACCTCCACTCCTACCCTGACCACTCCTACCATGACCACCCTGACCACTCCTCCTAGGAGGCAAAGCAGACACCATGCCGTGCCCTCTACGTTCGCAGATCTCGAAGAAGCGAAGTGATTTGTGGTTCGAGATTCGGACCATTTGCATCAGCCTTTGGAGGGCAGAGTGTGCAGTATTTCGGGGGAAGGCTTCCAGCTTTGATCCAGAGACCGACGCATGCATCGCCGACAGCTTCAAGCTGATCAAGCAGAGCTACGCCCCCGAGCCGTCCGTCGTCGTCGTTGTCCTTCCCCCCCTCGTCTCTTTCCTTGTTGTTTTCTTGTCTAGGCAAGCCCTGGGTCTTCATCCCGATCCCGGGGCCGCCTCCTGGACCGACCCGGAGTCTTTGTCCCCGGGCCGATTCAAGGAAGGTCGCGCGCGCGGTTGTGGATAACTTGAGGAAGGACTCTTTCTACATAGTCGGGACCGAGCTTAGCTACGACCACATTGCCGTTGAGTTCAGCGCCCTGAGAAAGGCCGACCCCATTGATGAAAACAAGCGCTCTGAACGTGGAGGACCGAGGGGAGCGCGGATTCACGCCGCATGGACAGGACCAAGCAGGACCTTGACGCCGTGCAGCACACAATTCCGAGACAGGACTTCCGAGACATAGACGGGACCGAGTATGTCTACGACCCTCCAGTTGAGGAGCACACATTTTGAGGGAGACTTCCGACCCGAAAGACGAGAGCCAGCAGATTCCGGGTGGCTTCATCGACGTCGTATACGGCGCATACGACATGGTGGAGGGCTACGCGGTTGCACTTTGGGCTCCGCGAGTCGCTCGAGGAGGCAGTCGTCGCATGGATGAGCGAAGTCGCTTTCGAATTGGCGGCACCGTACGGATGGTCTGGCGTTGCGGCTACGTGCAGGAAGTTATTCAGCATCACGAAAGTGAGAGCGAAGTGGAGGCCTCGCCCACGCTGCCCGACAGCCTTCAGGCTCACCATGGATTGGGTCTAGCCACCTCATCAATCTAGGTTTAAGTCAGGCCAGTCCCTCTACAGGAGGAGCATTCAGAAATAGCTTAAAAAGAAGATAGTCGGGGGACGATGTTTGGTGTATTTTTTGATGTTTTAAATATTTGTTGAGTATGTTTTGTTTTCGTTGAAAATCAGCCTGCAGGGGAAAATGCCCCACCTAAATCTAGGTCACCCCCATGGGCGCGAAGAGAGTCGCGCTTCGCGAATCGCGGCTTGGGCTGGAGATGCGCCCTCCTCCAGGGCGGCGGCGCGAGAGCGCGAAGATCATCGCGCGGCGCGGGGTGCGATGCTCGAAATTAGGTGACCAAGTTCACGAGTAGGCAATAGGATTGAGCTCCAGCGCAATTCCCGTACTCAGTGAGGAGAGTTTTCTCCGGCTGGTTCGGACGACCAGACCCAGGACCGCACCCCCTCGACCATCTCCTTCCCCTCTTGTTACTGCTATTGCTTTTCTCCCTCCCCTCCCGCCCTTCCTCCTGCCTCTTCTCCCTCCTCCCCCCCGCCCTCCCCTCGCTCCCTGCTCCCCTCCCTCCCTCCCTCCCTGCTCCCTCCCTCCCTCCCCAACCCGAGTACAACAAAAGCACCAACGACTTGCGATGGCTATCAGCCGCCAAGAGCGCTGAATGGGGGCTACCACGTGAGTCCGCCTGCGTGCCACATTTTTCAGGAGGGGAAAAAACACACAGACACAATTAATCGTCGATTCCCAGAAAATATGGGAAAATATGGGAAGTGGGGGGGAAGACAAAAACCCAGAAAATATGGAAAAATATGGGGAATGTTTTTATTTGTGTGTATTTATTTGTGTGTCCTGGGGCCCCTTCAATTTTGGAGGCCATGGCCTCCACGCAATACCCTGCTGGGCACGGGCGGGCTCCCTAGAGGACCGCGCCCTGCTTCGGCCTTCGCTTCGCTTCGCCTGTCCCTCACTCTCCCCTCCTTCTCTTCGTCACACTCCTCCTCCTCCTCCTCCTCCTCCATCTTCTCTGGGGGTGCTCTTGGAACATCCGTTATCCGGCTGCCTGCGGCAAGTCCCGAAACCGTGCCAGCCCAGAATGTCATCGCTTCCGGCGAGACTGAAGGGGGGGAAGCAGGAGGGAGGAGGGCCTGCCCGAATTAAAGCACGAATCCAGATGAGTATGCCCCCCGAGTGGTCATTTACTTGAGAGCTTCCAGCAATCTGGGCACGAGCGGGCTCGTGCGTGACGCGCCTCCTGGGGTGCCCAAGTGCCATGCCTGCTACATCGCGATGATCACTGATTGGGCTCTGAAAGGGGCGATGAATTCTGGGTGGCGATTCTTCGAGTGGCACGGGAGGCCATCATGTGTTACACCTCATGTCTCCAGGCTTCCACGCCAGGGAGATCCGTGATGAGGATGATGATGTTTATGATGTTATTGGGGATGATGATGATGATGATGATGATGATGAGGATGAGGATGAGGATGAGGATGAGGATGAGGATGAGGATGCTGATGATGATGTTGATGCTGATGCTGATGCTGATGCTGATGGTGATTGTGATTCTTAGGCTTACGCCACACCGCCGACCCCTTGTTTATGCCAATCTGGGTTATGGGTTATGGGTTATGGGTTATGGGTTATGGGTTAGAAAACGGCTCTGGGTTATGGGTTATGGGTTATGGGTTAGAGGCGTCTTGTATGTGTAGCGGGATCTCGCGGCACGCCTCTCGGGGGCCTATGGCAGGCAGTTTGGAACCACTTGGGGCCCAGGTGGAGGAAAAGGAGGAGGAGGAGAAGGGGGACACGGAGAAACGGCTCTGGGTTATGGGTTATGGGTGAGAGGCTTCTTGTATGTGTATCGGGATCTCGCGGATCGCTTCTCGGGGGCCTCTGGAAGCGAGTTTTGGAGCCACTTGGGGGCCGTTTCGGAGCCTCTGGGGTGCTTCTTGGGGGTTCCTTGGGGCGTCTGGGCGGCCTCGTGAGGGCCTCTGGGGGCCTCTTGGGGCACTCTTGGGGCCCCCTGGGGCTCCTGGGGGCAGAAAGCTAGAGTTTCAACATGTTTGGTCGCCCTCTTGGGCCCCTCTTGGTGCCGTCTTGGAGCCCTCTTGGGCCGTCTTGGGGACCTCTTGGGCCGTGTTGGGGCCGTCTTGGGCCGTCTGGAGGCCGTCTTGGGGGCCTCTTGGGCCATCTTGGGGCTGTCTTTGGGGCCTCTTTGGCCGTCTTGGAGCGTCGGGAAGCCGAAAAGGCGGAAAAGCAAAAAACATCGGAAAACACTATGGAAAATCAACAATTTTAGACTCTTGGGGCCCTCTTGGGAGGCTTGTTTGGGACCTCGGGGGCCGTCTTGGAGACCTCTTGGCCCGTCTTGGGGCCATCTTGGGCGTCTTGGAGCGGTCGTTTGGCGTCTCGGGGCCTTCGTGGGCCGTCTTGGAGGCCTCTTGGGGGCTTCTTGGCCCGTCTTGAGGCCCTCTTGGGCCCGGAAAAGCCCCGTGAACCGCTCGTCCCGGCCGTGCTGCGCTCGTGCCGGACCCCCCCCCCCCTCCAAATCGACCGGACCGGGCTCCCGGGGGAGGGGTTTGGGGAGGGGGAAGCATCTCACACGCCGATGATCCCCAAGGGGTCGGCGGATTATGATGATGATGATACTGATGGTGATGCTGGTGATGATGATGATGATGATGATGCTGGTGATGATGCTGACGCCTTCGCTGGCGCTGATGATGCTGTGGATCAGGATGAGGATGAGGATGATGCGGATGAGGGTGAGGATGAGGATGAGGATGGTAATGAGGATGAGGATGAGGATGATGGTGGTGGCAAGATGATGAGAATGAAAATAGTAATAATAGTAATAATACTAATAATACCAGTAATAATCCTAATCATATTACTAATAATGT